AATTCATCTGCCATCGCTCGCAGCGCTCAAAGGGGCCTACGTAATTGTCAGCCTAAAGATGCTATGTAATTTCATCAATTGATTAATTGAACTGCGTTTCAGAGGGCATCGTAAGTAAGTACGGTCTATGATCTCTCGACGACCTCGTTGAGCTCGTACTGCGCTCGTACCGCGACCTCGTTGAGCTCGTACTTTCGTAGGAAAATCTTATGATGTAGTCGGAATAAAATGCTATTGCATAGTTTTGGATGAATTAGAATGTGCTCTTAAATTTTTATTTGGGCTCATTCCGGTTTCGATTGGCAATGTGTGACTAATTCCGTTTTGAATATGGAGGAGAGTGACTTTTTTGCCCCCCTCCCTGCAGAGGCGGGAGCTCATAACATGCGGAACTCGCCCGGCCGCTTACCGCTCGCAGGTTTGGGAGTCCCTAATAGCGTACTGTCAAAGGGTTCGCCCCCTCTTCCAAGTTACTCTGAAACCCCGAAATGTCTCGTCCTATCTAAAGATATTTACCTCCTTTTATTTCAATTGGTCCAATATTCCTTATCACCCTATCACTAAAAATATTTACAGAATCAAACTACAGCTCCTAAAAACTTGTAAAAAATGGCTGGCCACCCGATGCACTCAAGGAGAGCGGGAATAAAAAAATATCAGCGTTTGTTGGACCAAAGGTGGAGATCAGTACAGGGTTCGCCTTTACCCATCCAGCCCATTCACCGGTTGGTTACAGGACTGATGAAATATAATATCACAGACCAACAATGACCGATGTTCCTTACATTTATTGAAAAAGTACCTCTATTGCTGCATTATTCTTCTCTCATACTCCCTTACCTCTGCTTCCAGCAGCTAAATAAAAATTGTTGAATTGACGGCCGATTAGCGAATCAGGGCGCAGATTACCGACAGACTTTCAGAGAGGAAGATGGAGAAACAGCGATTCAGAGAAGGCAAAGAGGATAGTCCAGACTAACTTCTTTTAATCTTGGCATATTCAATCAGACGAATAAACACATGCATATTTGTGGGCGTCCAAGATTGGATAACTTTATAGGGTACCGTTCGGCTTCTTCGCCTTCGCCGCCCTGATCAATGCAGCCGTGACGCAAGGGTGACCACTCTCGAAGAGAGAACTTTGTTTGTGCTTTGAACAACTAATATTCATGTGAAAACTAGTAGCACCAACCTCAAACTCTTGCTTGATTCGTTCACGAGTTAGGACCCCCTCGACAGAATCATTGCTCACTCGAGTGTGATGTGATGCGAGAGCAGCGATGAGATCTTGCGCAGTGACGATTCCAGCCATTAGCTCTAAAGCAGCGCTAATTGTAAAATTGATCAACTACTTCTTATAAAATTACTGAGTTATATTGTCTCAACAGAGAGTATTCACCTTTGTATACCGCAAGCTGATCAAGTCCTGCCGTGCTGGCCAAGAAGTACAATGCACTATCCTTAAATGAAAAGGAATTGAAACACCAGAACGTGTAAAACTTGTTAAATTAGTTTGTTAGGCAAATTACCGCGCAAGCTTCAGCACCAAACAGAGTGAAACATCTATATCCTACAGCCT